CCCTTTCTTGCCTCTAGGATGCGGCAAGTTCAGTGATATCTCGGATTTCGGGTCTTCTTATAGCCGCCTATCCTCACAGCCCACTTCTCAGGAGCCAGTGAGCCTCGCCCAGTAGTCTAGCTATTTCTTACCTATAGAATCCCTCAACGGTTCGTCCAGCATCTCTGTCGATGTAAGGGTGATCACGCTCGTCAACATCGCTGTAATATAGGACTATTCAGGAATCTCGAATGCAACAGACCAACTGTAGCTGTGAATTACCTGGTCAGCAATCGACTTGACTCGGCATCGGTTCTGGCAACGACAATCGTTGGAGATCCGCAGACGTCAGCAGCCAAACGAGCAGCATTCAGATGTCGAATGTGTTGGGCAGTCGGGATCAACACCTGAAAAGAGATGAGTTAGATGTGAGCTTCACGTTGAGTCTCACTTTCAGTCTCTTTCCTCACCTTTCCACCCATATGTCCACATTTCTTCTCGGAACCCAGTTGGTCCTCGAAGTGGACTCCGGCCGCTCCAGCTTCGATGTAAGCCTGAAAAAAGCACTAAGATAGTTTGATCAATCACTAGATTTTCGACCAAGAGTGAACGCCTAGTATCAATCAATCAACCGCGGCAGGATGAAAGCCTCAGATGATAAGAACGGCAGCCGACCCTAGATTTAATCCCCGGGTGGCAATAGGTTACATCCCCTGTGCTCACACCAGTACCAACGATTGATCAAGTTGGAGAATCAAGAAGAACGGTGCAGTTCGGCGACGAGCTGGAGGGGACATTTTGGGCTCCCGCTGCTTCCGGTTGTGGTGTTCATTGCTTTACCAGAGCGAGGTATTCTTTACCAGCGTAGACAAGTAGTAGTTCTAGACTTAGGTTCCACTTCATGGCTGCGCAACATTTTACAAAACTGCACAATGGCTCGACACGACAATGGGAAGCAGTGAAAGTGCAAAATACCCCATCACCGAACCATCCCCGACGCGAACTGGCCAAAAAACGAATAAAAAAGATTCAATAATAAAACATTCTCCATAAATTGATTCGGCGAGCTTTTCCTGAGTTCGGGCGCTTTTTCTTTTCTTGGTGAAAATAGTAATGGCATCGTATCACATTCATAATAGGTCCAATGAATTTGGTCCACCAGCTCATCAACGCTTATAGGAACAGATGTTTAGCTCCCAATTCACCCTATAGAATGGAAGAAGAGGTAAAAAGATTCGGGTGGCACCATTTGTTCTAGCAGGGCACGCGCACGCTAGGGAAGGGGCGCTAAGGGATCCATTTAGCCCAAGGGGCGCTTTTTTTGCCTCGCTACGAGGTGTCTTTTTTGGCCTAAACTATTCCTGCTAACACAACTACAACTTACAGGGCCTTTCGATAATTAAATGTAGTATTGTCGTGCCAAAGAAGTAACTGGTCTCAGTGCTAGGTTCTAATCTGCTTCTTTCCCCCACAAAAATACAAGGCATTGGCCCCCACTGATCGTGATAATAATTCTTCGGTCCCTTACAAACGCTGTCACATCAAGTCCAACTCGCACACACCCTCGTATTCCAAATTCCAGCTTCCCCGGACCACCCTCCCCAGCGCCTCTAACCATTCAGTACACGGCAACGAGCCCTGTTTCTATCCTGCCCAAATGTCCACAACTGACTAGCGGTCCAATGAAAACTCTCTTCACTCCTCTAGAGGATCGAAAACACCCTTTCCCCTATAGAGCTTCCAACACGACCTTGCCCCTGGATCCTAGCCTAGGCGCCGCCCTGGCTCTCCATCAGTCCGATTCCAATCAGCCCCTATAGTGCAAGTCCCTATCAAACAGTCTAATGATATGGATTCTCCAGGTATGATCTCCATTACCGAGACCGATCTCCCACTGCAAACCAAAAAAAACTATCATTTCATCCGTTCCTAGCGTTCTTCCTTCTAATAGATTTGTTTACGCGATGCTAGTTTACACTGCCGATCGAAAAACGATCAACACTGCTGCTGTTGATGTGTGATATTGTAGTTGGAGGCCAGATAAGAAATAGAACAAGTTACAAGGACTCAGAAATGATGGGAATTTCAAAATTACAAAAAAGTCAAGAAGCTGGATCGAATCTTTACAAATCTTTTTGTATGTGATAGCTTACTGTCATTTTTCGCTTCAGGTAGGGTTTTATTGAATTTTTACAGAACTTTCTTTGATCAATTCTAGGAGAGGGTAGGAGGCATTCACAGGGATAGTTCAGCTATCGTTTCGCAAGTGCCTTTAGTGAGTGGTTGTGCGCCGCAGCAGCCGTAGGGCTCTCTGGATCGAATCCCATGCAGGACAAAAAATTTCCAGAACACCCTCCCAAGTGATAGCGAAAACCTCTCGCACACCGTACCCCTTGAACCGGTTCATTAATACCAGCCTTCAGTCAAAAGTC